TTCTTAAGACTAAGTTTCTGAACTATCTTAGGGTCGTGTCTAGATTTCAGACGTTGCCCATTCTATAGTCTAACGACCCTGAAATGATGGAGGCGATTTCACTAACTTCATTTTATGTGAACATTCACGATCTGAAGCATTCCGTTTTGAGATAGGAAAATTTATATTCGCGGGTCAGGCAATTTTCGTGATTGTTTTGCAGTATTTTACATTCTTACCTACTTCATATTCATAAGGTACTGTTCGTATCATAAAGACGCATGACGTAATCATACGTCAAAACGGTTTTATCTCATGAACGTCATAATAATAAGAATACGAGGTCAAAAGTCTTGTGGAATTACATCACTGGGCAATGTTTTTGGCAGCAGTAGAGAGATCCTTGTGAAAGACTTCGTCCAGGGAAGTAGTGCCACCTTACCTATTTCTGCCGCCAAGCAGTAATGTGAGCGTTACTGCGTTCCGGTTTTGGAAATTACAGGCACATGACACTTGTGAACTTATAGCTGACATTCTTACTTACAGTTTTTTTGGGACTAATAAATAAATCTGGATACAAAAGGGTGCCCTGTGGGATACCTTTTAATAAGTACTATATTAGGGGTTAAAGTATGAAATTGCCGTTTTATTGCAATAGGTTCTTTGAATTTTCATAGAATCTTCATGGTTTGAGGTTTTCGAATGAAACTTTTTTCAAATGGTTTCTGTGATTTTTTTTTTTTTAATTTGAAACATTTGAATATCGACTTTCAATTGTTTTTGTTATTCAATTTAGACAAGAAAGATGGATACTGCGAAAATTCAAGTGATTTTTGAATACGAGTTCCGACGCGGAACTAACGCGGCAGAAATAGCCCGCAATATCAATGCTGCGTTTGGAGAGGGGTCTACTAATGAACGCACCGTGCGATTTTGGTTTAAACGCTTTCGTGATGGAAATTTCGACTTAAAGAACGAGCCACGAGGAAGACCGCCCACACAGGTGAATAACGATGAATTAAGAGAGATAGTGGAAGCCGATCCTAGTCAAACTACCCAGGAATTAGCGGCATGGTTTAACGTTACCTTACCCACAATATTGACTCACTTTCGTCAAATCAATAAAATAAAAAAATACGAAAAATGGGTGCCTCGTGATTTGACTGATCTGCAGAAAGAAACGCGTGTTGAAACTTGTGTTGCCTTGTTGAACCGGTACAGAAATGAAGGAATATTGGATCGAATTGTAACATGTGATGAAAAGTGGATTCTTTATGATAACCGGAAAAGAAAAATGCAATGGCTGACCCCAGGTCAAATGCCACAACAGTGTCCTAAAGCAAAACTTACCAATAAAAATGTAATGGTAACTGTTTGGTGGTCTCAGCATGGTGTTATTCACTATAGTTTTCTCCGATCTGGTCAAGCAATAACGGCAGATATCTATTGTGCCGAACTCCGAACCATGTTGACAAAACTAGCAGTAAAACAGCCCCGACTCATGAATCGATCTTCACCATTATTGCTCCACGACAACGCGAGACCTCACACAGCACGAGAAACCATTTTGACCCTTCAGGAACAGCAGTTATAAACCATTCGTCATCCTCCGTATTCACCAGACCTTGCTCCAACGGACTACCATTTTTTTCGTGATTTGGACAATTATCTACGTGACAAGAAGTTTTCTTCCCAGGAGGCAGTACAAAATGCTTTCACACAGTTTGTGCAGTCTAGATCGTCGGAGTTCTATCGCAAAGGCATTAATAACCTTCCCATTAGATGGCAGCAATGTATAGATAATAATGGCAACTATTTTGATTAAATAAATTTGTTAAAAATTTAAAAAATAAACAATTTAGATTTTCAGTACAAATCGGCAATTTCATACTTTAACCCCTATTATTTACTTCAAAATGATCCCTTGCATGCTTGATTTCGCTTGTATGATATTGGTTTGGATCGTTATAACATTAAAGTAATTTCTTCAATGTTAATAATTAATTTTTAATGTAATTTACTAAGTTTGGATCTAAATTTAAGTAAATTCAAGCAAAATTTTGTTATTTACAAAACACTGATGTTGTTTTGATATAGGAAACCCTCGTTAAGGAACACTTTGCCTCGCTTGTAACTAGTTCTAAATTTATACAGTTTAGTTTCGGTGATCTAAGTTTACTGAGATGTTTGTCTGCGATAATTTCCGATCAAATCCAGTTACTAAGGTACTTAACACACCGTATTCTCATTTCTTCGATTTTCTTTTCACAGAAATCACTCTAGCTCATCAAATATTATTTCGTTAATTAAAAAAATAATAATTAAAACACAAAAGATTAAATTGAACTCTACGACGTTTGTAATAAGAACAAACCAAACTTGAAGTGTTCAAAGCCAAATTCATGAATCGTTAATGATTGTTAAGTAAGGTTTATGAAAAAAACAAAGCAAAACGAAAAATCTTGCTTCTTTTTTGGTAAACTTGAGTTGAGTGAGTTGAAAACACGGCGAATTACATTATCCACTTGTTGTTATATTATTATTGCATTATGTGATGAATAATAATGATTATTTATTTTCATTGCATTCTCGAATAAATTAAAAGTTACACACCGTATTTTAGTATCATAAAACAATTTTTGATTTTTGTATTGTTCAGTCAGTATACAGTCGGGGAGGTACCCAAATGCACCCGGGTATCTCCCATAACGTGAGGTTCCCGCGGAAGGGGACAACCACCAGTGGTGAGTCAGTAACGGGATCCCACGAGCCGGCACCGGTGGGTTAGGGTGCATACACAGATTTTTAGTGTGTAGACCTCCGAGGATCCATCGGGCGAGCTTGCATCGCCGGAGAGATCAACGTAGGAGAGTCCCACATAACCCCGCCATGTCATCGCCCGCGGCGGGGTATGCGTAACGCATTTTCCTAGTAAAAAAAAGAAAAAAGTGACACATCATGACACTATAAGAAATTCCTTTTTAATTACTTACAAAACTACTTTCAATAACAAAACTGGAATTCCTTTACAATTTTCTGTTGCAAGAAAGATCTCCGAACCAAATAGTCGTCTAGGGGGTCCGGTATCTTAGGGCATCACTTGATATCATAACAAATAGAAAATAAATAAATATAAATGCAGTCAATTTACAATCCATTTTATTAGTACACTTACAAATTTATCTTAGTCTAGTGTTAGTTATAGATAAAACTAAAGTGAACACAATGAATGAGGGGTCAGATACAACATGACACTTGCTAAGATTATCGAGCTCACGGGACGTGACATTCCGTGAACCTAGCAGGGCCCAACCTATCCCCTATCATTTTGAAAACTCTGTTTGAGCTCATAAAGAAAATATTTTTGATTAAGTTTCCGACGTTGTAGTAGTCGACCCTACTTCCTTCCAAGTTACATACATTTGCGAATGCGTACTAGCAATAACTCTCACGAACGGTAGTGGAAATCATCGTGATGAAACATAGTAACAATAACAACGAACAAGGTTCACAACCTGTGACGTCACGAACCTGAATTGGGCCAGCGTGGCAGACTGAGTAATGGACGTATACGTGGGGCGCACTATAAGTTTCCGGAATCAATAAGAAAAAAATACTATAAATGGTCAGAAATGAATTTATTGTTTCTCAAAATATTCTCCGTTGGCGTTAATGCACTTTTTCATAAGAGTGAACCAATTTTGAAAACATTTATGCCACTCCTCCGTGACAATCTTTGAAACATATTTTTCATACTCTTCGACAGCCTCTTCACGTGATGAAAATCGTTGACCGCGTAACTAGTTCTTAATTTTTGGAAATAAATAAAAGTCACAAGGTGCCAGGTCAGGACTGTACGCGGGATGGCTCAAAAGGTCAACGTTGTTCACCTTCAAAAATTCATTTGTCTTTCTGGCCGTGTGAGGACTGGCGTTATCGTGGTGCAAGATGATACGGCGTTTACGGTTATTTTTACGGAGTTCGTCAATAACTTCCGGCAAACAAATGGTCGTGTACCAATCACTATTCACGGTACAACGACCCACCAAAGCAGCAGTAGCCACGTGTCTAGTTTTTTCAAAAAAAGAAGCAATCATCCGCTAAGAGGCAATTTGCACGCGCGCCACTTTGGTTGGTTTCGGCTCACCTCGAAAGACCCATATGCTCGATTGCTGCTTTGTTTTGGGATCATAACTATAAATCCATGTTTCGTCACCTATTACTATGTTCCACACCAAATTTGACGCCCCTTCTTTGAATTTGGTAACCATGGCATTACACCGTGTGACGCGATCCATTTTTTGAGCCTCAGTGAAATTTTGTGGGACCCACCGAGAGCACAGCTTTTTCACACCCAAATGTTTGTGTAGTATTGATTGTATTTGACTCATGCCTGTGGGTAAGGATGCCCAAACCTCATGGTATGTCACATGCCTGTATGTTTTGATCATACGGCGCACAGCATCGATGTTGTTGTTGTTCACAGCAGTGCACGGGCGACCATCACGAAATTCGTCACTAAAATTCACACGACCGCATTTGAATTCTGCAAACTAGCTACAAATAGTCGTATATCATGGGGCTTCTTAGCCAAAAGCAGTTTGAAGCCGAGCAAAGCTTTCCTGAGCTGTTAAATTACACTTAAAGTCGTAGAAAATCATACTACGAAAATTTTCACTAGTTAAATTCCATGGTGATGTAGACAACCAATTTCTGAAATGACGCCACAATGTAAAAACAAGTGACAGTCAGATGAAACAAACTGTATTCTACAGCCAAAGAGTACTGTTTTCAAATGTTGAAATTACTTTTTAAATATTGTTTATGTATGTGGCCAGTTCCGGAAACTTATAGTGCGCCCTATGTAATATGTTAATGATGATGAAGCAAATGCAGGCAATACCAAAAGGATACAAGATCATTTAGTAATCTAAGTCCAGTCTACTGTAGCCTTACACGTTTACACAGAATTGTTTTTCCTTGTTTCCAGATATTCCTGTAACAAAATGTGAACCGTCAATATGGAAGAAGAGCAGTCAAGCTGCAGCCTGCTCGAGGCGCTCAACGTCTCCTTCTACAACTGCTCCGATGGGGCCAATGAAAATGCGACTATCGACAAGTTCTTCTTCTACCGGGTACATTATCTCTTTACTACCCGTATTAGTTATTAATTAAGTGGTATTACAGATGCAAATTATTGAAACAATTATACCTCAGGTTTTTCTCTGACAGTCCTATAATAAACTGCGAAGTTTTTTTCCATGATTACAAAGTGACGGGGTGAAAAAACATGCGATTGGTGGTAAGCCACACGTCTGTCCATAACAGTTGCAGACTCAGAGCTTAAAATCGCACTACCACTGCTATCGTCACCCAGATACTTAAAGTTGATACGTCTTATGTTGTGACATGCCTGCAGTTTCTCACCTTTCAAAACCAAGAAGCAGCAATAATAATAATAATTGTTTATTTCAGTCCGTGGATTATATTAAGAAAAGAAAATTCAATTCAATACAATTCATACTTTTAAAAACTTCTAATAACTTTAAAAAATAATAAGATAAATGTCACATGAGAAAAAGTCAAATTAAAAAAACTAACACAGCAAACTATGATCACATTACAAGTTGGCTGCAGAGATGTAACAATACTGCCCTGGACCTCGTCCACTCGTCGACTGGGTACTGTATTGCTACTAACACTAATTAGTGAAATTGTTTGCTGGGTTCTGTATTGCTCAAACAACCACCTAGATATCTTCGAAGTTCCTTCTTTTTAATTCGTGTGTTTATCCTCTCACACATCTATTCTTCCATCTGTATTCCATCAGCAAGCTAAAAGCGTGGTGCGGCAGACAAAAACTTCATTCGTATTTTTTATAAATTTCCCAATTTAGAATTACTAACTAAGCTACTGCCGATCCAACAAAAAAGACCACGAATTTAAAAAAAATAGAAAAAAGTTATGCTAGGAGGTCGGAATATTTTTTGGAGATGGACAGAACGGAACTTCGAGTTTTAATTGAACACAACTTGGTATAACAGTAAATACATGGATAAAAATTGTATGGAGAATCTGCTCCGTCTCATAGATCTCAAGATCTCACCGTAAACAACGCCTTGCGCCCAAGAAGGCGAATTGAGTTATTGGGTAGAAGGTATCATCAACAAAATTCACGATATTGTTTTGGCAGACGTCGTATGAATCTACAAAAGATAGCCAATGCTGTGTACAGCTCCACTAAAAGAGTTTTTCATATATCATTCGAAATTCTGAAAAATGAATGTCACGTGCAGTCGCCATAAAACAAAATGGCGTAAACAATTTCTGAATAATACTTAACTTTAATTGAAGCGCAACCCAAGCAATTGGAATTGGATTGGTTATAGTTGAGATAATTACGAGTCCACTGTTTTGAAGGACAATCAAAGCAACGGACTTCTACTAAGGAACGTGCTCCAAAGAAGGCAAAAACAATTATTTGGCATATAACGTGAAAGTTAAGAGAGCATTAACACAGATTTTTTGCAGTAAATTAAATCAATATGCTTTCTATGCTGCTTTATAATGTCGATTTAATTCAGAGTTTCTGAAGAAACAACCCCGACTCGCAAAAAATCTCTTTCATCCTGATAACGCTCTTGCTGACTCATCTGCAAACGCATCATCAAAACTTGTCTAATCACCATGCGAACTATTCACCAGATTTCGAGATTTGGCTCCGTGTGTCTTTTATCTTTTTTCCAAATACAAAGAATTAACCAGACAGACTATTGTTTTTATAAAAAAAGAGGAAGCGATATTTGACACGGAGGGCTGTTTTTCAGGGTTTGCCAAAAACAAAATCGTAGCCCCTCACCGCCCCGTACCAGGGAAACCCTGTATCGCGAGCGCCATGGACACACACATAGACAACCACAAATTACACCCAAACTCATGAGAGAAATAAATATATAAGCCGTGCAAATATTTCTTCCGGCTCGGGAATCGAACCCGGGACTTCTGCGTGCCAGTCTAGCATGGTAACCTTTCGGCCACCAGGTTGTTAATTATACAGATAAAAGGAGTTTTCTTTAAATATTTTTTAAGTTACGGATTTATTAGACTGCCCGTCGTACGTCACTCGAAATCACATAAAATTGTGACAATTAATTAACAAAAACACTGGTTGCGAACTTGCGAACGTACGCGAGCCTGTTACAGTAAAACCAAAAAAATAACTGCTTTCTTGGTTTGTTAAAGTATGGATTTGACAGTGACAAGTGTTACAAGCAAGAGGGAAGCATTTTTCACGTAAAACTTTTGTTTGTGATCAAGTACTAGTATTTAGTAGCAGTAGAGCTCCTTGTGAAAGAGCTCGTCCAGGGAAGTACTGCCACCTTACCTATTTCTGCCGCCAAGCAGTAATGGTCACATTACTGTGTTCCGGTTGTGAAGGGTAAGGGTGCTGGTGAAATTACAGGCACATGAGACTTGTCAACTTATGTCTCAGGGTGACGGGCGCAGTGGCAGTGCCCCCAAGATCTTTGTAATTTAAAGCTCTTGGTGGCACTGCAACTGTTATGGGCAGGCGTGTAGCTTACCATCAGGCACACGACTTGTTCGTCCCGTTACTTAATGTCATAAAAAAAAAAAAAAAAAAAAAAAGTACCTTACAATGGATATTAACATACATTATCATTCTATCCATGAATCATTTACGATCAATCGAATCTTATACGAGCATGTTGTTATGTTAATAACCAAAGAATCGTTTCAATGTGTCAATGACCCGTGAAAATAAAGACTTTATTAGCCCGTTCTATTCGCACTTTCCTCTGTCCATTGTGTTTCGCATGACTAATTTATTAGAATTAACTTTGTTTCTTTTGGCCTTTAACTACAGTTCATAAAGTGTCATTTATTTTGTTGTTTCCGATTGTGTAAAAATATCTGTGTTAAGTGTTGCCTCACTCAGTATATTCATTTTTATTTTATGAAATAAGTATTATGATGTATTTATATTTTTTTATAATACCAAGTGAGGGGATGAACAAGTCGTGTGCTTGGTGGTAAGCCACAGAGCTTTAAATCGCAATGATCTTAGGGATATTGCCACTGCGCCCGTCACTCTGAGACATAAGTTGACAAGTCCCATGTACCTGTTTACCATTTCTTACTCTTCCAGACCGGCATGCAACAATGCACACATTACTGCTTGGCGGCAGAAATGGGTAAGATGGCAGTACTTCCCCGTTGGACGATATGTTTCACAATGAGCTCTACTGCTCTTACTGCCATGATATGCAACTATTAATTATGTGAACCACTGAAGTTTGTTACGATTATTGATACAAAGATGTAAAGCGATGTGGATTGAAAGAGGATGTGTGACAAAAAATAGAGAAGAGTATGTTGATATAGTTTGCGCACAAGAAGCGGAATGAATGAATGTATCTACATTAATAATTGCGTTAATCTTAACGAAGGTAATATTAGAGCTAACGTGCAAGGTAAAATTCAAGGACGGCTACGAAAAACTAAATTGTTCTTAAAAAGAGTGCTTGTATGAATAGGTTAATAAAAGTAAGAGAAGGAAGATAGGATTATCAGGATCGGGCAAAGTTGCAACCGATCAACATTACCATCATCAACCTATTTATACGTCTCACTGTTAGGTACGGGTCTTCTCTCAGGCGAGGGTTGTAGGCCATATTCCGCCACTCTCGCCCAATACGGGTTGGAGACTTCGCAGGGTTTACTTTTGAACCTTCTTCGAAGTGCAGGTTTCATTGAGATGTTTTCCTTCACTGAACAACTCATGTTAAATTTCAAATTCAATTTCGCACGTATATTCCGAGAAACTCAGAGGTTTTAGTACGGCTTCGAACCCACAGCCTCTGCTTGATAGGCGGTAGGTCAATCATTAGGCATATTACGGCTGGCAAACGATAGCCCTCTGTCTACCCCAAGGGGAATCCAAGGCCATGAATATAAGTGAGAAATCTATTCATTAATAAAGGAAACTTAACTAAATAACAACCGGCTACTTTTAGTCAGGTTTTCAAGTAGCCGCTGATTCCCGTATCTATTGAAGAACGCCTTCTGAAGCTTGTATCATCCACCACGATCTTGCGCTAGTCTCATACATAGTGGAGCCCGAGACATGACGATGTCCATTACTCATCTGCAAAGCATCCGATGTCTCTGTAACCACTTATTGCCCAGCAATCGGTAGTCGTTTTATTCCATCTGTCATCACCGTAGCTAGTAATATTTTACCAATTATTTTTATCTATTATAACCAATATTGGAATATTTACTCGTATATTGTGTTATTTTTAAAATACTAACAACCTTGCAGGACTATACTCATCATCATCATCCACAGCCTGATTTCACCCATTACTGGGTATAGGCCTCCCAAAGTTTGTGCCATCCACCACTGTCCCGTGCTAGCAGTATCCATTGACAACACGCGAGGCGTACTATGTCTCCTTGCAATAGGGCGCCTGAGACGTTTCTTTTGCCCATCCTCGGCCACCTTTCAGTCGATATCTTGCTCCACCTGTCATCACTTTGCCTTGCTAGGTGTTGCGCCCAGCCCCAAATGAGAACTATATTACTAACACCGTAAACTACAACTTTTTGTTTCATGACTTTTAATATATTTTTTTATAATATCAAGCGACGGGACGAACAAGTCGTGCGCCGTACAAATTATGACGTTTTGATATTAAATTGAAATTTCAATCAATGAGCTACCATCTAGCGGTTCATTGCTGAACGACGACGAATTGGAGTTATTGATTTAGCTCTCCAAACAAGAAGCGACCATATTGCATTAGTGTAAACTTTACTTTCGTTTCTAGTAACAAAAAAAATATTTCGATAAACAGAACATTCATTCACCCTTTTCCTTAATCGTCACAATCTTTTTAATCCTTTACAATGCGGTTTCCGCTCTGGACATAGTACGACTACTGCTCTTGTCAAAATCTCTGATGATATTCGACTGGGAATGGAGAATCATCAACTCACCGTCCTTACTCTGTTGGACATCAGCAGTGCCTTCAACACCGTTGATTTCGACTTGTTGCCTGCGCTGTTTGATTCTCTTGGCATTTCTCCGGCAGTGACTGACTGGTTCCGCAGTTACCTGTATGGGCGGCGGCAGCGCATTCGTTGCGAGGATTCATTCTCTTCGTGGTGTAATGTTGTTGCTGGTGTACCGCAGGGCGGCGTATTATCCCCTCTTCTATTTTCTATTTTTATTAACTCCATCACTTCTTCACTTTCTTCTTCTTACCATCTCTATGCAGATGATCTCCAAATATATACACAGGCCCCTCTAACCAACTTACGTGACGCAATTTGTGCTACGAATATGGATCTTGAGAGGATTCTCACCTGGAGTCAATCATTTGGTCTCAGTGTCAACCCTTCCAAAACACAATGTATAATCATTGGCAGCCCCTGGTTCCTAACGCGTATTAATCCTTCCTTACTGCCACCTATCACGTTTGATAGCGTTCAAATCCCACTCAGTGCCACCGTTAGAAACCTTGGGGTTATTTTCGATAAGTGCTTATTGTGGAGGCCTCATGTCACGGAGTTAAGTAGGAGGGTGTTTGCTGCGCATGGGTCTCTTCGGCGTTTAGGTAATTATCTTCCCGTTCCGACGAAAATCAGTTTAGCACAATCACTCCTTTTGCCTATTCTGGACTATGCAGATGCGTGCTATCCTGATTTGTCTGAATGTCTCCTCGGCAAACTGGAGCGGCTGCAGAATCTTTGCATTAGGTTCATTTTTGGGTTACGTAAAGTTGACCACGTCTCCGATTTTCGCTCGAAACTTAGATGGCTACCCATTCGTCGTCGTAGAGATCTCCGCGTTTTATCCCTACTGTACACTGTCCTTTTTAATCCAACTTCTCCTGCTTATCTTAAGAATTGTTTTGAATATCATAGCAGTACTCTCCCTCGCACCTTGCGCTCTTCTTCTACTCTTTCTCTGAACTGTCCTATCCATTCCTCAAAATACTTTTCCAACTCCTTCACTATTAGGAGCATCAAGCTGTGGAATGACCTGCCTGAGTCGATCAGACGAGCAAAGACTATTGAGTCATTTAAAATCCTAGTTAAGGCTCATTACCTTAAATTATAAATTCTACTCTGCTGTCTTATTTATTGGTTTTTTTTTTTTTTTCCTCTTCTGTGGTGATAATATATTTATTTGTATGTATTATATTAGTATTTAAGTATTTATGTAATTTATATGTTAGTAGATATTTATTATTTATTTCATTCATATATTATGATGTTTAATAATAATATCATATTTATTGCGCCCTCTATTATTATTACTACTTTTGGTTTATCCTATCACCCCAAGGTCGCCTGGCAGAGATTGCTATTTAGCAATAAGGCCGCCTGTTGTACACTGTATTTTTGATTGTTTTGTATTTTTGCTTGTTTATTGCGCAATAAAGAATATTGAATTGAACATTGAAAATTTATTAAAATTAGACTTTTCGATGATATGAGATACCATCACGGGTAATATTTTTGGTGCAGCTATCATTTTTGCACTCTTTAACAGGCATTTTTCTTTCCACAATAAGGCATTTTTCTGGAATTTAAGAGAATTTGCACG